CAAACCCACTCTCCTGCTGGTAAATAGGGTAACAGGGGACACCATCACAGGGCCTAATCACATCAGCCACACTATCAGAGGCTCGTTCACCTGCACATCCACCAATGTGATATATGCCATCATGTGCCAGCAATGCCCCTCTGCCATGTACATTGGTCAAACTGGACAGTCTCTACGTAAAAGAATAAATGGACACAAATCAGATGTCAAGAATTAGAACATTCATAAACCAGTCGGAGAACACTTCAATCTCTCTGGTCATGCGATTACAGACATGAAAGTTGTGATATTACAACAAAAAGCTTCAAATCCAGACTCCAGCGAGAAACTGTTGAATTGGAATTCATTTGCAAATTGGATACAATTAACTTAGGCTTGAATAGAGACTGGGAGAGGCTAAGTCATTATGCAAGGTAACCTATTTCCCCTTGTTTTTTCCTACCCCCCCCCCCCCCAAGACGTTCTTGTTAAACCCTGGATTTGTGCTGGAAATGGCTCACCTTGATTATCATACACATTGTAAGGAGAGTGATCACTTTAGATAAGCTATTACCAGCAGGAGAGTGGGTTTGTGTGTGGGGGGGGTTGGGGGGGAGGGGGTGAGAAAACCTGGATTTGTGCTGGAAATGGCCCACCTTGATTATCATACACATTGTAAGGAGAGTGATCACTTTAGATAAGCTATTACCAGCAGGAGAGTGGGGTGGTAGGAGGTATTTTTTCATGCTTTGTGTGTATATAAAAAGATCTTCTACACTTTCCACAGTATGCATCCGATGAAGTGAGCTGTAGCTCACGAAAGCTCATGCTCAAATAAATTGGTTAGTCTCTAAAGTACCACAAGTACTCCTTTTCTTTTTGCGAATACAGACTAACACGGCTGTTACTCTGAAACCTGATATAAAGCTAGGAACTCTTTGCTGGTTTATCTTTTTATAATGCTGTAAAGACTGTTACATTTTGGTATGATGATCATTTATATTATTATCTTTATAATAATTTTAAGTTGTACTACTGTAACATTATATTGTTACAAACTGTTACGATATTCTGTAGATCTTACTTCTACTAATGAACGTTATATATTTTCTGGGCCAAATTCTGCTCTCAGCAACACTAACATAAATGCACAGTAACTTCATTGACAGCAATGCAGTTTTCTGGGTCAAACCACTCCCCTCTGTGGATGGTTTCTCTGGCGGTGAATGCACCTCCCCCTCTCCAACCCGTCCTAGTTGTTCTGCCCAGAGATTTGTGCCTGAGAATTGTGGAAAGGACCAACGGTGGGGCTGCGATTAACATGTATCTTTTATGTTCAGGTTTTTAGACTGTGACTATCGTGGTTTGTCTCCCCATCCTCAGCTGCCAATGATAAATATCTAAAATGTTGTTGGAACCTGAGACTGCATTCATTTTTGTGCAGAACCCCTCTCCACACTGTGGAAAACTCCCTTTAAGACTTTGTTTTCTCTACAGAGTTTTGTCGACAGAAGTAATCTTTCGTAAACAAAATAAGGTAGGTGTACACACACAGTGTTCCTTCCGCCGACAAAACTCTCCTGCTTTGCCGACCAAAATAAAACCACCTCAACGCGAGGCGTAGAGCTTTTTGTGGCAAAGTTATATTGACAAATTGTCAGTATAGGCACTGCGCTTGGTTATGCTGATGTAAATAGCCTCCAGGAGGCATCCCACAATGCCCATCCTGACCATTTATGGTCAGCAGTTTGAACTCTGCTGCCCTGCAGCCAGATACACCGGCATCTGCCCCTTCCCCTTTAAAGGCGTGGGAATTTTTGACGTTCCACTTCCTGTTTGCTCGGTGTGGAGAGCTCATATCACATCTTCCCAGCGGACTATGGTGACTCCGTAGCGAACGCTCCCTGCTTGGAGCACATCTGAGTTGGTGGATCTGCTGGCTCTGTGGGCAGAGGAGGCTGCTCAGTCCCAGCTTCACTCCCGCTGTAGGAGCTTCGATACCTACAGTCTGATTTCTCATGGCATGTTGCATAAGGGGTATGAATGTGACACGCATCAGTACCGTGCAAAGATTAAAGGTGCTGAGGCAGGCATACCAGAAGATAAGGGAGTCATTTCATCACTCTGGCATTGCACTGAAAACCTGCCGCTTCTGTAAAAAGCTGGATGCCATACTCAGCAGAGTTGCTGTGCAGTATTCCTGATGTAGAGCTCCAAAGCATTTTACCGTTTGTGGATCACAAATAACGAGTATATCGGTGGTGTGCATTTGATACATTTATTATATTTATATACTACTGAAATTACATGGAAGCAATGCGAGCATGATGCTTTTCGTATTTTTCTGTTAATATGTTAATACCATGTTACTACTGGTTTTTTAAAATACGTTTTTAAATCTCTGTTGGTCTGACACTTGTGCACACTGTAGAGCTAAGTATATTCCACACCATTTTTTGGTACTAATTGTGTTGTATTGAAATTTGAATTAGACATGTAAATGATCTGTGCACTAGCAAAAGACCATCTTGGTCCACTTGGAATATTTTCTGAATTCACTGCTATTTGCCCATTCGGTTTAGTTTTAAAAGTAAACCTGAAAAATACCAGTACATATTTATTGGAGGAAGTAATATTAATACTTTGAGCTAAGAAGATATAAGGTGTTATGTAAAGAAGGATTTACAAAAATGAAGTGCCACAACACCCTGTGAACAAATTAGGTAGTATTACAACATTTTACATTTGGAAAAACTGATGCAGATAGAATTTAAATGATTTGCCTACATTCACACAGCCATGACGGGTAGAGGCAGCCAGGGATACAGCCTAGAACTTCTCATAAATCCCATGTTTAACCATTAGACGCACTTCCCTTAAAATTTGTTTTGTTTTGCCAACGGAGACTGTGCAGTTAGTACTTCTTCCCAACTTTTACTTATGCAATCTTCATACACTGCACACACATTATATTGATATTTTGAACATGATAGTTAAAAGGTCTCTACTAAGGGACACATCCTGACCCCTGGATACACAGCAGTAGGAGGCCCCTAATTCTCCATAACAGCTTACCCCCTCCGAAGGATATCTAGGCTGCTACGTAAGATGAATGTGGCATCATGCCAGAGGAGAATTTTATGGCAGGATTTGAAGAAGGGCAAAGTGATAGCTTTGCAGAAGTAGCAGTATAGGAGAGAATGTGAAAATGTTGAAAAATTTTACAAATGAGCAGTCAAGACTGGCACCATTTCGGGTGCAAAGGGGGCAGATGTCAATGTCTCTCTACATATGAGATGATAGAAGTGTGTGGATAGGCCATAAAAAACCTTTGAAAGCAAATACAAGTAGCTTTGTGGTTGATTCATTGGAGTGCGGGGAGCCAAAGTAGGGATGGAAAAGGGATGTGTGAGAGACAAGGTTGAGGTGATGAGCCAAGATAAAGTCTTTGCAGCAGCATTATGTGTAGATGTAAATGGGGCAATATGGGTTTTTTCAAGGCCAGAGAGGAGAACTTTGCAGTGGTCAACATGCAGGGTGATGAGGGCATGGATGAGAGTTCATTATCATGATATCTGAGCTCCCCCTGCAATAAGTTGCACAATAATATTTCACAATAATATTTCACATATGCTCTTTGCAGATAGATGAGTTCTCAGTCATCTTGCTCTAGAAATAAAAAGCATCATTGCCTGGATTTCTTCCAGTCATTTTTCAGGGTTCTCATTATACATGAGAGATTCTATAAATAGGTCACTAGACAGAATTGCATTCTCTGCTTAGTCATTTGGTTACAGTTAGTGTTCTGCCTAGAAAGAAAATGCTGAATTTGGTCTCCATTCCCCTTTTCTATTTATATGGTTACTTTCCACAAATAGAACTGTGTATGTGATTTATTATCCCATTTTCTGTGGTGTTCAGGTTTTTATTAAGTACAACAGATGTGCATCTGGAAGGTTAACTGATATTGTAAACTGGACAAAAGCTTTATTGTAGAAAGGTAATTCTCTGTGGTCCTAATTTTGCAACATTACACAGTGTCTTTTAGACTTACTCTGTAAATAATTTAGCTGAATTAATCAGTCTGCAGTTAATTACTGCCAACCAACTTTGCTATAGTCAATACTTTTTTGAGGGGTTAACTTTTTGAGAGAACTTAAATTATGAGAACAAATGAAGTCATGCATATGCATGCACAAATGCAACTTTACCATTATAACTTTTGAAATATACTACTAAGTGTATATATATATATAACATCATGTATAAGTAGGAGCATTGCCAGCTCATCAAGGGATGTGATCATTCCCCTCTATTTGGCATTGGTGAGGCCTCATCTGGAGTACTGTGTCCAGTTTTGGGCCCCACACTTGGCATTGGTGAGGCCTCATCTGGAGTACTGTATCCAGTTTTGGACCCCACACTACAAGACGGATATGGAAAAATTGGAAAGAGTCCAGCAGAGGGCAACAAAAATGATTAGGGGGCTGGAGCACATGAGTTATGAGGAGAGGCTGAGGGAACTGGGATTATTTAGTCTGCAGAAGAGAAGAATGGAGGGGGAATTTAATAGTGTCTTTCAACTACCTGAAAGGGGGTGCCAAAGAGGATGGATCTAGGCTGTTCTCAGTGGTGGCAGATGACAGAGCAAGGAGTAATGGTCTCAAGTTGCAGTGGGGGAGGTCTAGGTTGGATATTAGGAAAAACTTTTTCACTAGGAGGGTGGTGAAGCACTGGAAAGGGTTACCTAGGGAGGTGGTGGAGTCTCCTTCTTTAGAGGTTTTTAAGGTCAGGCTTGACAAAGCCCAGGCTGGAATGATTTAGTTGGGGATTGGTCCTGCTTTGAGCAGGGGTTGGACTAGGTGACCTCCTGAGGTCCCTTCCAACCCTGATATTCTATGATTCTAAGTTTTGTACAGAGAATTATTTCCATTTTGTAGTCTTCCATTCATGAAAATATTTTGGCAAGTGTTCTGATAATGAAAAAGAAAAAAAAATTATGTACAAGAAAAGAGTTATACCTCAGTTGGGTTGACTCCAGCAGAGCTGCCTTGGTAGTTGTCATCTCAAAATGATTTCAGTAGCAGAACTGGCCAATACAACTGTGTGTGATAGCTTAGTTCTTAGTAGGTGTATTAAGCACCTACTCCCTCTCAACCTCACTTTGCCTGTTTTGGGGATAATTCACAATATATTGATCAAAAAAATAGAATTTTAACATTTGCAGTTTTCCTTTGAAATATTGTTGACAATATTAGCATATCACTGGTCTAATTTTCCTTATTAAAAACATTTTTGTCTTTTCAGCATTTTGTAAAGAGCAATTCAAAAGCATTTTGGCACTAACATATACTTTAGGAGCAACCATCTTACAACTACAATATTACTGTGTATATTAGGGATCTCAAACTCAAATCACCACTAGGGCCACATGAGGACTAGTACATTGCCCCAAGGGCCACATCACTGACACCTTTTCATATAATGATATAAAAGCCCCGCCACCTCTGCCCCCATCCCCACTCCACCCATGAGGCCCCGCCCCGCCTCACCTCTTCCCTGCCTCCATTCCAATCCCTTCCCCAAAGTCTCCACCCCAACTCCGCCCCCTCCCTGCCCCTATTCCAACCCCTTCCCCGCCTCTTCTCCACCTCCTCCCCTGAGCATGTAGCTCCTCACTCCCTTCTGGAAAGTGATAAGCGTCGCCAAACAGCTGTTTGGTGGTGGGAAGCGCCTGGAGGTTGCCAGAGAAGCAGGGACACAGCGTGCTGTGGGCAGCGGGTGAGAGGAGTTTGGCAGCCACAGGAAATAACTTGGGTCGGGGGTTGAGGAGCCAGGGAGCTTGGCAGGCCGCAGCAAATAACTCCACGGGCCACATGTTTGAGATCCATAGTGTATATTCTAGTAGAATGCAAAGGTCATTAGATATTTTCTTTTTATATTTTAAAATGATTTTCATGCTTGTAGAAGGGTCTGAGAAACAAGTCTTATTTATCCACAGAAGCTTTACTACATTTCTAGATATTTGCATTTGTTAATTGACTGTATTTTATTTAGTTATATTTTATTCAGAACATAGTAATTCCTAGACTCCTGCCATTGGGGAATATTGCAATAGTTCTTGCACCTTCTTGTAAAAAATGAGTTCTATTAAAGTGTTGATTAGTGAGACATCAGATAGTAAGATTAACTGAATTTATTAAGCTAGATAACTCTAACTAAAGAATATAACAGCCCATTACAGAAAGGGGTGAGGTTTACCACACCAATCTGGACTCCAGTCTGCAAACTCAACTTAACCCAACTTTGGTCATGCTTTTTCAGGTCTTTATGTGTAACTTGTTTACCTTGTATTACAGTTTGTGGTATAACTGCATGACTGGTACCAACCAGTCATTGACATATGTCAACTTGTTGATAGTACAGCTTATATCTTCCATTATGTTCCAAATTTCCACCATAACAACTTTAACCAACTTACAATAGAGCTTAGATAGTGAAAAACAAATCTTTCATATACCTGTGCTGTGAGTAAAATTCCCCTCAACCATTTCCATTTTCTTATACCCTTTCATGTGATTTCAGTTACAACTTAGCATAGCAGAAAACAATTTACATACAATAGGTTGTGAAAGTATATCATACTAATTTTTTTTTTTACTCTATAAAGAGTCTTAACTGGTACATTTCCATCATCTTTCTCTTAGCGTTACTTGCCAAACTTTATGGGAGTCTTGCATGACAATTCTTTTAGCATAGCCTTGGGGAATTCTTGGACTTTAGGCCTCTGTACTAAAAATCCTCTCAAGCATCTGGTACTGGCCACAGCTGGCAACAGAATACTGGTCTAGATGGAAAACTCTTCTGACCCAGCACAGCAATTGCTGAAGCATGAGAGTTTCTATCTATAAGCGTGTGGGACTCACCCCTGCGGCACCTCCTGCTGGTGTCCTGGGAATTAGCTCTAATTCCAGCCTTGGAGCACCCTCTGCAGGCCAGTGTCCTGCTTACACGAGGCCCCCTTGTCCCTCCTGGACCCGGTGCCCCTGGCAGTAACCCTCACTTGCAGGGTCTCCCCACCCAGGGGAACCCCCACCTCCTATCCCCACCTCAGTCTTTGGCTACTGCCCAGTCACTATCTAGCCCCCGTTCACTGGGGCTGACTGCAGTATATAAGCCACTCATCGCAGGTAAGGGGGTTTGGACCTGCTGCCTCTGCCTACCCATGGGCTGCCCCCTGCAACCCCAGTACCTAACTGGCCTTCAACTAGTCCCAGCCTGGGGTGTTTTCAGGCCGGGGTTCCCTTGGCCTTCCCCCAGCCCTACTCCACTCTAGGCACTTGGTTAGGCTCCCCAGCAGCCAGACCCTTCTCTCTCTACAGGCAGAGAGAATCTGTTTGGACTCCTGGCTCGCAGCCTCTTATAGGGGCCAGCTGGGCCTGATTGGGGCATGGCCCCAGCTGTTGCTGCCTTCCCCAATCAGCCCAGACTTCTTGTCCCAAGCCACAGCCCTCTCCGGGGCTGTTCTAAGCCCCTGAGGGCAGGAGCGGGTGTCTACCCCGGTACACTATCCTTTCCAAAACTCTTTAAAAATATATTTAGTCACTGTTATTCCCAAACAAAAACTGAAGGAGTTATGGTTATGAGCACATATCAGTAACTTAATGATATAAATGTTACAGGAATGTATTTTGAGGATAATTAGATAGCATAACAAATTTAAGAAAATCACACTTAAGGTTAAACTTAAGAGATATGGAAACATGTTAAGGAGAGGAAATGCACAGTTAAGGCATATGTCAATGATAACACTGTCCTGTAGGAACTGCATGTAGTAACTATGCAACTGTGATTCATGCATTCTAGTATTGGTGGGCAGAGATTAGATTAAACTGATATTTAAAGATACATTTGGTTGTTGCTCTCTCTATTTTTTCCTCTTATTGTGTTAGTACAGCGTAGTGTTATGATTGTGTTGGCCCTCTCCTTCAGGTCTTGCATGTTGTTTGTGTCTAAAAAAGATTCCATTGTAGGGCTTCCTGCAGGAGGACCAGCAGACTGTCCAAGCTCTTTTCAACTGGAGCAAGGACTTGAATCTGACTCTCTTACATCCCTGGTAAATGCCCTAGCTACTGTGCTGTGGAGTCTCCCTCTGGCCCAATGAATATTTAGTTTTTATACAAAGTGGAACAACTTCAACAGGCTAGAGGACATAGCCCCATCCCAAAATACTCAAGCATCAGGGCAGTCACTTGGGATGTGGGTGACCTGGATTCAAGTCCCTGCTCTAACTCAGGCAGAGTGGGGATTCAAACTTAGGTCTCCCACATCCCACAGGAGTGCTCTAACCACTGAGCTGTTGGCTATCATTCAGTAGGATTTCACTGTCTCCCCCCTGTCTTTGGGGTGTGTGGTGGGTTTTTTTTTCTTTTTGTGTGAATGGACTGACTTGTCTTAGGTGCCTAACTCCAGGAGAGGATTCACGGCGGAGAATCCTGAGCAGATATAGGCTCTTCCTGTCAGCCCGTAAGCATAAAGGCTCAGCTCAGATCAGTAGGAGATAGGCACCAAGGATCTGAGTCTAAGCCCCAGCCCTTTTCTCTGCATTTCACTCCTGATTTGTTTAGGCGGCTCGCTGCTCAGTTGCTGGCTTCTGAGAATCCTTTTGTTGGGTGCCGAGCTTTCCCCATATAATGCATAGGGAGCCTGTGCACTCAACTTCGGGCAGAGAATTGCAGCAGGCAGCAGGGTGCCTGGGAGTTGGGTGTTTCACTGCTCAGCATTGGAATACCTACATACCTTTGAATCTAGCCCAACATGCTGATAGAGTAAGAGGGCCTTTGGTTACTTTTTTTCCACTTAAGACTTCAACCCAGAGTGTAGGCCTAAATTGACTTAATGGCTCTAACTAAAGATGGCACTTAAAAAGCTGCATGGTGCTTAAGGGTTAACACTGTCTGTTCCCATGTTTAGTAGACCTGCCTCCGGGCTGCCTGACACACACGGTGGTAATACTGCATCTAATCTAAATACACCCTTCTCTGTTTAGCAACTATGACATGTAATGGCAGCTTTGGGGTGGGGGGGAGGCATCCTTCAAGTAAGGGAGGACAACACTATCACATACCCAGAAGAGAAATTCTGCCCCAAACGCTGAAAGGAAAGGACGTGGCCCTATGAAACCACTGCCCCCCTTTCCTGCCACGTGTAAAAGGTTCCAATACTGCAAGTTACTTTGTCCCCATTTCCATTTTAAAAATAAAAAAGACCTTCAGCACTTACTGTGGCCTCCTCTCATTTCTCTTCCTATGTGCCATTGTGGTCTGGCTCCTTTCCTCTGCTGCAGCAATCTTTAGAAAGCATGCCAGGTTTCCACTGTCCCTCTACAGTCTCTTATCTTTCCCCTCCAGCCTTTGCTCTATGTGAAATTCTCTGCCCCCGCCCCCCACCATTTTCTCCTCTAATGACTCCTCCCTCTCTCTAACACCACCTCTCTCTAAACTTTCCTTCCTTCCACATCCAAGTCTCCTGGAACACCTAAAACTCCCCTAGTCTCTTCTCCTTTCCCTCATACTTACCTCATTCTCTCCTTTTCCCACCAAAACCCCTTATACTGTCCTCTTCTCTGCAAATCTGCCAATCTCTCCTTTCCCTCATGGGAAATGCCTCATTTCCCAACCTCTTTCCCTGCCTCATACTCCCTTTATCCTCTTTTTCCCCGCATTCACCAGTCTTTCCTCTCTCTTATCCCAAACCACCTGATTCTTCATTTTGGTTTTTCTGCTATTTTATTGTTTGTTGTTACACTGTACTAATCAGCGTGATAGTCCTCCTTCTCCCCCAGATCCTCCAGTCTCTCATTCCTCTCCTTCCAAACCACTTCATTCTCCTCACTATGCCTAGTGTCTCCTCTCTATACAAGACTGACTTCCTCAGTCTCTTCTCCCTTTCACAAATCACAGCTCACTTTCTTCTCTTCCCAACCCCCTCCTCCTCCTCTCCCTGATGGCCTGTACTGGTTTCATTTTAAAGCTGTGAACATTGTATGGAGAGCTTCACATGCTTTTTTTTCAAGATGAAGTACAAGGAACCATATTTATTATTCATGCATTTCCATTTCCTGCCTTTATAAGAAAATGTGTGTGCTCTTTGATTTGATCAATACAGGCATTTGGTAGGTGCCTGTATCAATGTTTGCAAGAAATGTGTTATACACCTAAAACAGAAATTCATTGACGAGGCTAGTTATGGTCTTTAACAAAAGTGGGGGGTTTTACTTAGGGTTCTTTTCAGTCATCATATGCAGTCCAAATGTATGCTGAAACTATAAACACAAAGCATGAATTCCAAAAGGAAATCCATTTTTATCAAATTTTTCATTTAATTGTGGTTACTTATAGACTCATAGGACAAGTCTACACTTCAGCGCTACATCAGAATAGCTGTTCCGATGCAGCATTAGGCGTGCTGGCATAGTTACTCTATCTCTGCGAGAATTGGCAGCTATGTTGTGGAGAGAGCGTCTCCCACCGACATAGCACTGGTGTGGTGGACAGTGCAAAACTTGTGTCGCTACAGGGGGGAGGGTGCTTTTAACACCTGAGTGATGTAAGTTACAATGACTTATGCGGTAGTGTAGACCGGCCCATAGACTTTAAGGTCACAAGGCGCCATCGTGATAATCTATTCTGACCTCCTGCCCATCATGGACCGTAGAACTTCAGCCACAGACTCCTGTAATAGACCCATAACCTCTGGCTGAGTTACTGAAGTCCTCTAATTATGATTTAAAGACTTCAAGTTCCACAGAATTCACCATTTACTCCATTCCAAACCAGCAAGTGACCCATGCCCCATGCAGCAGAGGAAGTCAAAACAAAAATAGGGTCTCTGCCAATCTGACCTGGAGGGAAATTCCTTCCCAACCCCAAATACGGTAATCCGTTAGACCCTGAACTAGTCACCAGGGAAAGAATTCACTGTAGTAACTGAGACCCCTTCCCATCCAGTGTCCGATCTTCAGCCATTTGAGATATTTGCTACTAGCAGTCGCAGATGGGCCACATGCTCGGCCTGCTGGCGGGGGAGGGGTGCTCTGTCCTGCTGCCGCTACGCCTCCCCCCACCCCCGGCACTTCCAACTTGCTCAGCCCCTCCCCCCGGCAGCCGGGCCTGGGCGGGAAGCTGAGGGAGTGGTACAGAGACACTTCTCATGCCAGCTGACTCCCCTCAGGGTCTCTGCGAGAGAGCCCGGCTGGGGAGGTGGCGGCAGCCCACCCCCTCCTCTGCCTGCCTGGGCCCAGCTGTGTGGGAAATGTGCTGAGGAAGGAGTCTTGTGCTGATTTTTTAGCATAATTAAATGTCTGGAAAGCATAGAGAAGATACCACACGCTGTAAAGGTGCAAAGTAGTAAGATTATAATGGTCTTGTCTCTTGTTGTAATGTGATGTCTATAGACTTCCCTGATTTTCAAAGACACCGAGCATCCATTGCTCCCGTTAAAGTGAATGGGTGCTCAGCACTTCTGAAAATCCAGACCATTATTCTTGTAACATAACCTCAGGTATTGCAAGTAACACCCAAGATATTCAGGCAGTCCACATGTAGGGAAGAGACAGCACCATCTGTTTCTCTCTCCTGCGGATATGGTCTTCACCATCGCTATTCAGCAGCACAGCTTCTAGAAGGATGTTGGAGCAAAGGCTGGCTTTATGTATACAAATGTCTAACCAAACCCAGTCTTTACCACAAACCCCCTCTTTCCAGGAACTGTCCTTTTAAGTAGTAGTACTTGCTCTACCCTGCATATGATTTGCCTGGATTTTCTTGATGTTACCTGCAACATCAAGTTGCCAGTATTTTGACTTTGTCCTTTTTCCTCTGGCTTGCTGGAGGGGAAGCATCTCTCCACTGAACCAGTTCCAGAGGTGCTGTCACGTGTGACCTTTTAACTGGTCACATTCCTTAAAATAGTCTGTTGGTGCAATAGACAAGGAAATGACCACATTTTCCAGTGAGAGTGCATAGTTTATATCTTGTAAGTATATGAACCAGGGAAAGTACAACAGATTAAAAACAGTATGCCCTTCTAGACAGTCTGCCATCTGAAAATGTAAAAATGCTTATAAACATTAATGGGTTCTTAGCATCTCCATATTTTTGAGCTCGAGAAATAACATTACCCTTCTGTGGGAGAAAGACACACAGAGTTGTTCCTGATTGCACATGATTGTGGGAGAGCTGTGGAAACAACCCCGATCTCCTGACTCCTAGTCCCAGGCCTTCATCATGTGGGCTCTTTCATTTTACGTAATATAAGCTTAAAACACCCACTCTCTATTTTTCAGATAGAAGCCGTCTACGCCAGTCAAGAAACCAGCAAAAGTATTTCACTATGGATATAGATGATGAAGAAAATATGAGTAAGATATGTATATTTACATAATAAACAATATAGTCCTTTCTGCAAGAGCCATTTTCCTTGCAGCTGGGTGGGCATACAGAAACGATATGAATACAATGAGAGGAAATTTCTGTGTGTGTATAGTTCACTTTATACTTGTGTTCATTAAAAAAGAATTTCCATACTGGGAAAGCTTTCAAATACATTCTGATTAACACATAATCCAGTTACCCTTCACGTGACTGATATCTTCATACCATGATCACTAATCGTCAAAGATATTTGTATTTCAAAACAGCATGCTCCCTCTTAGCCTGTTTTCTCCTACTTTGAACCTGCAGTGAAGTAATGATGATTAATTAATACATCTATGGTTTGCACTGAAGAAATACGGAGTGATATACTCTATTGATACAACACGCACGCACGTACCCTGTGTAGCATACTGTCTCCTACAAAAAACTAGATGTCCCAACACCCCTAGCTCTATGTACTTTCTACCTAATATCCCCAAATGCCACCCTGCAGAAGAACTGGAAGTAGAGATTACAGGACTATCCTAAACTCATATGAGGTCTGGGTTAGTGTAAGAGAGGAGCTCCTGCCTCTTACAATCTTCCAGCTAGATTACAGGCTGAACAGAGATCTTATCTGCCCTAAAGATCAGAGCCTTTGTGCGCCAGGAGTGTGCCTGTAGCGGCCAGTCAATCAACAGGAAATAGATGACACTAAACTGGGAGGAGAGATAGATACGCTGGGGTAGGGTAGGGATAGGATACAGAGGGACCTAGACAAATTAGAGGATTGGGCCAAAAGAAATCCGATGAGGTTCAACAAGGACAAGTGCAGAGTCCTGCACTTAGGACGGAAGAATCCCATGCACCGCTACAGACTAGGGACCGAATGGCTCGACAGCAGTTCTGCAGAAAAGGACCTAGGGGTTACAGTGGACGAGAAGCTGGACATGAGTCAACAGTATCTTGTTGCCAAGAAGGCCAATGGCATTTTGGGCTGCGTAAGGTGGGGCATTGCCAACAGATCGAGGGACGTGATCGTTCCCCTCTATTTAACTTTGGTGAGGCCTCATCTGGAGTACTGTGTCCAGTTTTGGGCCCCACACTACAAGAAGGATGTGGAAAAATTGGAAAGAGTCCAGCGGAGGGCAACAAAAATGATTAGGGGACTGGAACACATGAATTATGAGGAGAGGCTGAGGGAACTGGGATTGTTTAGTCTGCGGAAGAGAAGAACGAGGGGGGATTTGATAGCTGCTTTCAACTACCTGAAAGGGGGTTCCAAAGAGGATGGAGCTCGGCTGGTCTCAGTGGTAGCAGATGACAGAACGAGGAGTAATGGTCTCAAGTTGCAGTGGGGGAGGTCTAGGTTGGATATTAGGAAAAACTTTTTCACTAGGAGGGTGGTGAAACACTGGAATGTGTTACCTAGGGAGGTGGTGGAATCTCCTTCCTTAGAAGTTTTTAAGGTCAGGCTTGACAAAGCCCTGGCTGGGATGATTTAGTTGGTGTTGGTCCTGCTTTGAGCAGCGGGTTGGATTAGATGACCGCCTGAGGTCCCTTTCAACCCTGATATTCTATGATAGATGGAATGAGATTTGAAGGGAACAGAGATCATTATTACTTTTGGGGTGTACCTGGGGGAGGGGAAACTAGGTAAATTGGGCAAGAAAGAGAGTTTGGGAAACCTGGGAAAGGGATAGGAATTGTGAGGACATGGGGTACAGGAGAATGGAGGGAGGGAGGATAAAGTAGATCAAATATAAGGGTTTGTGAAACAAGAAAGAGGGAATGTATAAGGAGAGAAATCAAGTAATGGAGGAAAGAAAAGGAAGAAAATTGTACAGTGCTCTGGTCCCCAGCTATTTAGAGTAACAGATTGTTCTCATTAACGGTTTAGTCTTGCTCTGGCTCAGATTTAGCAAAGCATTTAAGCAAATGTGTAGCTTTAGATATGAGTAGCCCCTTGGCTTCAATGGAA